TGTCCCTCAGTCCTGTCCAGGGGCACATCCAGCCCGAGTGACTGCTTGAGATCCACCCAGTCCTCCCATCAGCACATTGTCACGCTCCTCTTGCCCTGGTAAAACCCAGGAGAGCTTCGCTTTCATCTGTAGAAACACGAGGGGCCTTGAGCTACCTCAGAGGAACACGGATGGGGAGCTGGTACGTGAGGGGGCTGTGGATGGCTCCTGTGCCAGCTCTGAGGCATCTCAGTAAATTTGCATAGTGCTTTTGGATTTAGGGGAAATGCTTGGGTGGATTGTTTGTCTTAGTACCTCAGGCTCTGCTCAGCACTTTAATTTATCTGGGATAAACAACATAGAAGGGAAACTCTGTACCATACAGCTTGCCTGCTTCCCTGATGAGATTGGAGGGGACACAGGAGTCCCTTTTCCTCTCTCCTAATGAAGTTTCTCAGCAGCTTACCAAGAACACCAGGCTCTGTTGAGGTTCACTGAGTGGAGCTGTGAGCTGCAGAACATCATTTCAATTAGGCTTGCACAGAGCCAAACTAATCAACCTTTCAGTCCTTTGATTGCTGTCTTTTTTGCTCTCCTTTTGAGGCAGGTGCTGTGACAATAAATCCAGAGCAGGAAAAATGAATTTGAAACTGAAGCAATTTCATAGTAAGAGAGGGAAGAAATATTTCAATAGAAAGAACCTCAGAACCACTGGCCCAAGCTAACTGGCTCCTGCTGCCTTGTTCCACTGGTGGCTTTTGGCCTTCAGCAGACCTGCCAGGAAAATGTCTTTATCCCAGCAGGGCTCTGCTGGGTGCCTCTTCTTTTCTGGTGCTGGTTGGATGGAGGATTTTTCTCCAGAAATGACCAATATGACTTTTATTGGTGTGTGGAAACATCAGGTAAATGATGCCATTAATTAGAATGGTGGAACCAATCGATTTTTCAGTTTGCTAACCAAGGACAATTTTGAAAAATGATTTTGAAAAATTCCTCTTCCCTTCAACAACGGAAAGAATGGTCTCAGTGATTTTTAAATGTTCTGGAGCAAAAATCTGAGACTTTCTTGGCAGAACAGAAAAGAAAAAAATAATCTAATAAAACAGATGAGCTGGGCTCAGGAAAACACAGAATCACAGAATCACAGAACGTTAGGGATTGGAAGGGACCTCAAAAGCTCATCCAGTCCAATCCCCCTGCCGGAGCAGGAACACCCAGATGAGGTTACACAGGAAGGCGTCCAGGCGGGTTTTGAATGTCTGCAGAGAAGGAGACTCCACAACCTCTCTGGGCAGCCTGGTCCAGGGCTCTGTCACCCTCACTGAGAAGAAGTTTCTTCTCAAATTGAAGTGGAACCTCCTGTGTTCCAGTTTGTGTCCGTTACCCCTTGTCTTATCGTTGTTTGTCACCGAGAAGAGCCTGGCTCCATCCTCGTGACACTCACCCTTTATATATTCATAAACACCAATGAGGTCTCCCCTCAGTCTCCTCTTCTGCAAACTAAAGAGCCCCAGCTCCCTCAGCTGCTCCTCATAAGGGAGATGCTCCACTCCCTTGATCATCTTTGTAGCCCTACGCTGGACTCTCTCCAGCAGTTCCTGTCCTTCTTGAACTGAGGGCCCAGAACTGGATGCAATATTCCAGATGTGGTCTCAGCAGGGCAGAGTAGAGGGGGAGGAGGAGCTCTCTTAACAAAGGGAACAAAGAGTCAGTTTTGCCTTTTAGTGTCCCAGTAAAGTGTAATGTAATTTCATAGGAAAATGGCAATGTTCTGTTTTAAAACTGACAAAAATAATAATTCCAAGGTGTTTGCTGGAATTGTTTTATCAAACTGACCCAAATTTAAGGAGCTTTGATCAAACCATTGCCAGGAGATAGTATGCTTGTTTGGGAAATGTTAGCATATACTCTATTTAGTGCCCTGACGGGGAAACCAGAGTCTGCTGTTCAGCGTTTTCTGTGTCGTCAAGAGCTCTGGTTGTGAAAACATCAGTCCCTTCAATTCAACCATGCAGCCCTGATTAACATTGCTATGGGTTCTCATTTGAATTGAGGGCAGCACTGGAAATTGCAGGCTATTCAAGCACAGACAAGCAAATCAGAAGCCAAAGACAGGTGACATGGAATTAAAAGAGTGAGATGAGGTGTAATGATGGAAACACAGGGTAATTGCTGGTATTGAGCTTTTCGGAAAGCTGCACCAGCGACATCTGCTTTTTCTCCTTCGTCTACCCCTGACCATTCCTCCCCGGCCCGGTTTTGCTACAGTCAGTTAGCAAGAAAGCAAATGTGGTAAGGCAGCTTTTTTGTCCGTCTGCTTTGAACTCAGCAGGCTGTCTCCCATCCGCATCCTGACCTTGCAGTGGTGTGAGATAGCTACAGATTCCCCATGCTGAGATTTGTACCTTCAGCTCCAGAAAGAGAATGCTTACAAACCTGCAGTCTGAATCGCTCTGTAACTCAAGTGTGCTGGCCAGATTCCCTCTTAGCTGACAATTTTATTGAGGTAGGTTGTTCCTTCTCTCCAGGCTTGGAGCAGTCAGTACTCCCATTTCTGTTTCAGCAGCTCTTTGTGATCTGTTATGTTTGTTAGCGTGTATGTGATTCTAGTAGATACCACGTGGAAATTACCATGTGTGGGCAGTGTGAACCTCTGCACCACTCACTCCCTTTCACTGTATGTTCACTGCAGAAATGCTCTTAAATTTAAAGGCAACATTCATACTTCCTCTGGTGTGCCTGGCTACACGAATGGCAACTACAAACAGGATCTGTCTGTTCAGGGAATATTTGGATCCATCCCATACCACCACCCACAGCAGACATGTCCCAGATGCACCAGTTGCAGATTCAGAATCAAAATTCTGTCAGCATTTTATGATTTTATGGTGCAGTCCAGTTCACTCTGGAAAGGTTGACCAGGGACCTGTAGATTGCCAGCTTTACCCGCTCTGAACAACTGCGTAGCACTATTGCATAGCAGTCAGTTATTAGAGTTATACCTTGGCATTTATAGAGAGATAAACACTTGATTTTTATAAGTACAGTAAAGGAAAAACCCTTAATGTGTTCTTCCAATGCTTAACTGCAATTACAGTTAGATTGCTCCTTCTGTTTTTTTAATGGGCTTGTCTAAAATCACAGTAACTCGTGCGTTCTTCTGGAACCGAAGGGAATGGTTCTTAGTATCTCCTTTATACTTTACAGTGAGGAAATGGTCCTTATCTGTGCAGTAATTATTTCACCTTTTTCTGGTGGTCGATTTGGAACTTCATAGTTGTATTTGAGACTCTACCATTTAATTTTTTTTAAGACACCAGAATACCAGCTACCCTCTTCAGAGCATCGTTTGAGTTCTTTGCTGCCGGATGTTTGATTGTACTTACACTTTTAGACATGTAAGGGACACATTGAATGTGTCAATAATGTCAACAGTTGAATTATCGTGAAAGTTGTAATTTCATGAAAGCATGAGACGAGTTTAGTGAACAAGCCCTTGTTTACAGGAAACTTAAGTGACATGAGCTGTGCTGCCAGCCTTTAATTCTTAGAGCATGACATGATCTGGGGGTTAAAATCCACAGTAATTTGCAAGATGCTGTCTGTTTGCCTGTACAGGCACTAAAAGTGATCAGACAGGAACCAGCAGAAATGACATTTGAGTCAGAGAAAAAGGTTTTGCGAATGCGTGCGGGGCCTGGGGATGCGTTTGGTTCAGGAGGGTTAATACAGCTTTTGATCTGATCCAAACTGGCTGGTGCCTTATCTAGAGGTGACCCTTGTACACACACCCCCTGAGCTTCGTCTACAAAATGAGCTCTGTACAGACATGCAACCAGAGGGCCAGGTACACACATGCATGCACACAGAACTTCAGAGGCTGAGCCCTTCAAATCCGTACAGCTTCAATAAACAAGAGTAAAAAGGAAGCCCATAGGCAGGTGGTTGTCATCAATTCAAACTGGCATAGAGAACCCTTGAAAAGGCAAGAACAGGGATCCAATCCACACCAATTTTGTAAGAAAATCATTCAAATCAACATATACCAGCTCCTTCTAAATCACTGCTGGCCCAGTTACCAATTTGCACGCTGTTATGAGAACAGAGATATGAAAGCCGTTGTGCAGAGAGCCTGTCTGCATTAGAAATCTTCTCCTTTGAGAATGCATCTGTGCTCTGGAGAAAGGGCATGGCTGGCAGCGTCTCAGGCCTCTGCATTGGCTGGTTCTGTCCTTCAGTCCAGGAGAGAGCATCCCTTTGGTGCCAGGTGCGCTCTCAGGCCAGACAAACTCATTACGCCACATTTTCCAGCCCATTGAAAAGACAAAACGCTGAGCTCATGTTTTGCTGCAGGCTAGGAAGTCCAGCTGGAACATGACGTTTGCTAGCCTGCAGTTTCCTTAAAGCTGGGGCTAGAAGGGCACGACCAAGTAAGATGGTAGCTGTAGCAGGTCTGAGGGCTCCTACTAGCACATAGAGTCCTCCTGTCATGGAGAAATTTCCTTTTAATTGGAATGCATACTTGACTTCAGGGTGAACGAGCTGCATAAGGCAGATGAGGAAAAGGTGTCACTGTAGCTGAAGACTCAGGAGACTTTCCTGAACTTACATTTTTGAGATTTTTTCCTTTGCAAACACAAAAAACCTACAGTCTTTGGATTTATTCTCTTTTTCTAATGGAAGTTCAGATTATGAAGTGCAAAATGAGAATCTTGGAGATTCATAAGCTTTGCTACCAGTCTGCCACACTTTCCAAAAGTGGCTTTACTGTCTAGCTAAGAACATGTGTCCTGTTGGGCACATTTTTGTGGGATCTTGATGTTCCTTGATCGTACCACAAAAGCAGAAGATGTGATGGTTGTCATCTTGTTGCTGGAGCAGAGACCATACACAGATCCCATAATGACAGTGGAGGGGAGAGAATGCCAACAATTTGAGGAAAGTCTGGCAGGAAGCTTTGAGGAAGCCTCCCATGCCTTGACGTATCAGAATGATTCTTTCTCTCTTCACTTTCTCTACAGGCAAGAAAAATTCCATTCTGCTGCACAAAGTCCAGCATGACCTCAATTCGGGTGTTTTCAACTACCAAGAGAATGAGATCATCCAGCAGATCGTGCAGCACGACAGAGAGATGGCACACTGCGCTCACAACGTCCAGGCTG